AAAAAAAAAATCATTTCTTTGAATTTCTTTTTCCTATCCTTCCTATCTTTTTACCTTTGCAGAAATTACATATTCAAATAAATGTTTGCATATTGAAAGATCAATTCATAGATCTAAAGTTTAACCGTTTTTCTTTAGTCTTTGCTCAAGTTTTGCAGTTCTTTTTTTTTTTCGAAATTCTTCCTTATTTTCTTCATTCTCATCTTGTTGTTTACTTTAATCATTGGCAAAATAAAATGAAAAAAAAACGAAAAAAAATTCCTCGTTAAATTCTCGTGAAATTTGAAATTTTATTCATTGATCATCATGTAAGCTTCTTTTTTTTTTTCTATTCAATGTAAATTACTATAAAATAAATAAAAAAAAAAAGCATGCTTATGAATAAAATGAACATTAGCTAATGTAAAACTTTTGAAATATTTTTGATTTTTTAAGTATTGAAAAAAATTTGAAACGATGACGAAAAAAAAAAAATCTGATAAGGAGGAATTGGCACTTTTGAAAAAGTCACACGGGAATTTATAAAAATTATGGTGTGAAAAAAAAAAAAAAAAATGATCAAATGTATAAATTTTGCCATACATTTCTGTTATTTATTTATAGGTTGCAAAATTTCTTTCAATATTTAAATGTAATGTTAGTTTGATGAAATCAAATCAATGATAATGTTTTTGTGATGTGTTTGGTAATTAGTAATAAGTAAATAAGTAAATTGATAAACTGTATTACTATTTTTCTTTTTTTTTATTTTATTTATTTTTTTAACTATGCTCAAAAACGTTCACTCATTTAGTTGTCAATAATTAGTTATTTTATTTAAATGGAAATGAAACATTATTAAAAACGATTAGGAATAATCAATTTAATCAAGACATTTGAATATTTATCGTGTTATACATAGGTGAGATATCTTTATTTTATAATAATTGTAACAATTATTGTAATTATGTTATAGTAATAACAATGATGATAATGATAATAGTATTTATCATTATTTATTTATTTATTTATTTATTTATTTATTTGTTTATTTATTTGTTTATTTTTTGTGATTTCAAAAAAAAAAAAGGACATTTCTTTTTTTATCTTGTTGCATTTTCATGTCACCATTATTTCTCATCCATTTTGTGTGATTATTTTGTAAACTATCATTTCATAAGATGCATTTTTCTTTTATCATTGTAAATTTTATTATTAAGGTGAAATGTCTATGAAGTTTTTAAATTTCCAAAAGTTTACCCAATAAATTAACTCGACGACTTTTTAAAAGAACTTTGTCGTTCCAATTAATTGAAATTTTTGATATTTGCTTTACAGGTAATTTAGGGCAACAGGAATAGTAACTGAATTAATACAGCTTACCGGATGGGAAAACGGATCAAGCCAATAAAAGAACGATTGCACGTGGTATGTCTAAATCCGGAACAACAAACAATTGTACTTAGTATGATGAAATGGAAATTATTATATTGGTTGCACTAGTAATCATCATATTATTTCTGTTTTTTAATGTCAAACATTCCAAGCGACAATAAACAATAAAATAAAATTTCATCAATTTTTTAAATTTATTAAATTTTGCATTTGTTTTTGAATTTTAAAATTATAAGATTTCATGATTATGAAATTTATACTTTTTTTTTTTTGCAATAACCAATAAATTATTAATTCATTAATCCAGTATACATTTCGTTTTTTTTCTAATTTTAATTTTCTATCAAATCATTTTAATTACAGTTTAAATATCTCTACCAGGTAATGCTAATCAAAAGAACTGTATTAAAATTTTTCAAATTTATCAAACTAAAAAATGAATTACACCAATTCTTAGCTATTATCAAACAGGAAATTAATAACTTTTGATATCTGACCAAATTCAAACGTTTCTGTTTTATTAATATTTCTATGTTTAATTTTTAATATATTAAATTTACTTACATTTTATTGATATATGTAGTATTTAAATTATAGTTAACAAATTAAAAATTTTTTATCAAAAAATTACATTAGTTGATAAATACTTTAGCAAAACATAAAATTATCACCAAATTTATCTAAGACAAGAAAATATTTGAAACAAAAAAAAAAATAAAAATAAAAAAAATAAAATAAAATAACAATAAGCCTCTATTAGTCTATGGAGTAAATTTTGGTTGTTTGTAATTTGGTGAGATTTGAAATATTTAGTTTTTGTTAGTCAATAAATCACAATATTTCTAAGGTTTGCTAGAATTTTCTCGAGCATATAATCTTTTTGGTTATCGTTAACATTAATCAATTTCAAACAGAAAGCAAATATTGCTAAGTGACTACGAAAATTTTTATTGCATACAAATTATTCTAAACTTAATAATCCAATACAATTTTGTTCAACTTATAAATATTTTAATTTAAAATAGCTCTCATTGATAAATACTTTTTTGGACTATTATTTGATGGAAATTAAATAAATAAATTGGATACTTTTAACATTTATTTGTCATTTCAATTGAATCTTAGTTTAAAATGAATTTTTTTCAAAATTTATTTTGTTCGTACTTCGTTTATTTCATTCGCTTTTTCTCTCGATCTTATCCTGTTTATTGGCTATTTAAATGTAATTTTCGAATAATACGCCTATTTTATGAGTATTTTTTTTTCCCAAGCTATTTACAATGATATGAAAAATTTCGTTACTCGAAAAGGAATTGAAATTAATCAAAAAAATTGTTCAATGCTTAATCCTTTCGCTTAAATTTATTATCATTTATGTATCTAAATAGATATTATTAGCATGATAATAATTAATATTTTGATATGATATGTATTCGAATTGCCAGAATATTTCCATATGTTCTTCAAAAGTTATAAATGAAATTTTGAAATAATTAGCAAGTGAATTAACTTTAAGGATGAAAAAATTTACAATAAATTAGTTCGGATGATTGATAATTTAGCAATAAATTAGTTTCAGTAATTGATTACTCTTTTTTTGATTTGTTTGAAAAAGCGTGGTATTCTTTTTCCTTTTTTTTTTTTCTTTTTTTCTTGGATAAATCGCGCCTTTTATTTAATCTTATTCAGATTATTTCATTTCTGATAGCATTGAACTACCATCGATAATGATAAAAAGAATTTATCTGCTGGTTAGCATCATTAAGCATTTCAATTTAAAAACAATTCATTGTGAAATTATACAATTATCGAATGAAATTATTGCAATTCTTCATATTGTTATCATTTTTAATGTTAACATAATATATATTCCATGATTAAAATTTTAAAATGTTGAAAGTTATTTTTCTTTTTAAAAAAAAAAGAAAAAGAAACTATATATATAATATTTATCTGAAGAATTAAATTTGAACTTCCATTGACTTTTTTTGAAAATTTCGAAATTTCGTTTTTCCTTTTTTAAAAATAAAAACTTCAAATTTTTGAAT